ACTAGTGCCACCTGTTGGAGATCCTGAGATCGAGACTAAGGGCCGAGAGGTTCTTGATGCAGGTTGGGGATACGCTGCAAATGGCGCGACCAGCAATGCAAAGAAGGAGCCTGCTACTCAGTGGACACGCCCAGGAGTCCGTCTTGAAGAGGAAGGCGTGCTAGTCAAGTTCAGTCTACGAAAGACGGTCAAAGTGATTTCTTGGCACCGTCGAGGTGAATACTTCAGTACGGTCTGTCCACAGGCTCAAAGCAGCGCCGTCGCCATCCACACGATCTCGAAACATCTCACGCAGCTTCCTTTCCGAAAGCTGAAAGGGCTTGCTCAATCGGCTTCGTTTCACCCGTCCAAGCCCATCTTCCTAGTCGCTACACAACGTTATATCCGCTCTTACGATCTTTCCAAGCAGGAGTTACTGAAGATCATTCAACCAGGAGCCCGGTGGATTTCATCATTCGATGTGCATCCGGGTGGCGACAATTTGATCGTGGGTACTTATGATCGGAGACTCCTCTGGCATGACCTGGATCTCTCGGTCCGTCCGTTCAAGGTGTTGCGCTATCACAGCAAGGCCATCCGAGCGGTGAAATTCCACCAAGGCGGACTACCGCTTTTCGCCGATGCATCTGACGACGGCAGTCTGCAAATATTTCACGGTAAGGTAGTAGGGGACATGATGGAAAATGCGACCATTGTGCCGCTGAAGGTGTTGAGGGGTCACACAGTCAAGAAGGAATTGGGCGTTCTGGATTTGGACTGGCACCCTACCCAGCCGTGGCTTGTGAGCGCAGGCGCTGATGGAACTTGTCGGCTGTGGACATGATTGACTGATGGCTCTCGAGAGCGGCGGAGGTAGAGGCGGATGGGATCCGAGGCGGGTGTCCCGAATGGATCTATTCGCGGTCTACTTTATGCGCAAGGACAATAGTAAAAAAAAGAGGGTAAAGTAAGGTACACCAGGTACAATAGGAAACTGCTAGCGCGAAACTAGTTACCCGCAGGAGTGGTGGGAGCTTCTAGTTTCTACAAACAGTCCTCAATAGAATTATAGAGAGGACTCAATCACGCATCCGAACAACAATAACAAGCAACAATAACCAGGTACATTCAAGTGAGCATGCAAACATGCAAGCATATCGGCGTGCTTGCGAGCTACGATGCTGATTTCACTTAGGTACTTTAATATGAAAGCCACCTCAGCCGACACATCTCCCTCGGAGGGTCAGTAGTTTTAGCTATTGAGGACAATATCAAGCCCACCCGCACATGCAGCCTATTACCATTTTCCCCACAGAGATTTTCCTATTCATGCAACCTCTATTGACAACTCCCCATAGCCTATTTACCCCGTCTTGTTTACTTATAGAGGCCATCCCACTGGCAGCCTTCCTCTCCACCACCCATTCTTCTAGTCGTAAAATACCAATCTTCTCACCTACAGTCAATACTGAAAGGCATAGTACCTGCTTGAAAACCCTCTTCGCACACTTCCTGCGCCCCCTGCTCGCCTCCTCTCACGGTCCAGCTCTCCAGCTCATTTGCCCTCCTTCATCATGGCTGTCCCGCCCACTGACCCCAACACCACACCACCGATCCTCACCGCGGCCCAGACTCGAGCCCTGCTCCACACTTTGCTCTCCAACGCCGCTAACGCAGCCCGGCCAAACATGACAAGTCCCGGGCCTAAAGCCGTGCGCCAACAGCCGGTACAACAACAACAACAACAACAGACCATTACCATTGACGCCTCCACTCGCATCATGGGACATTGCAACAACGTCGCCCTCGCTTCGCCCTCACCTACGGAGCAAGCTGTCAAGATCGAGCAGCTGCTACGTGGTGTTTTCCAGCCAGCGGGGCCGGGAGAGGAGAAGACGAAAGCGAGGGCGAACGTCAGTCTCAATGTCAACGTTCAGGCCGGGGTGAGTATCTTGGGCAGTAAGAACGTTGTTGTCTTCAATGGCAAGAGAGATGTTGGCAAGGACAGCACCAAGGGTGACGAACCGTTGGCTGGGAGGAAGCGAAGGGCTGAGTCCGTAAGTTGTCATCATGCTCATGGATGCCCTTCGACGCAGACACTGATGTAAAGGATAGGAGCCCGCAGATATCCAGATGACGCTGGGTAAGAAGGTCAAGGTCGAAGCATAGTGTGGGGGATGCAACCATGCAGTGAGACGTTCGAACAGGCAATGAGACGAACGAGCAGTTGACAGCGGGGGGAAATGGCAGTTGAACTTGTACAGATCCTCAGAGACAGTTTGCTGAAGCAGTTTGATCATGGACGACAGACTTTCCCGGTTCGATGCTAACGATTGATGTGAAAACAAGAGAACTCTGGGGCCTCGGACTGTTACCTTTTCTGACTGCGTGCCTGCAGAGAGGAGGGCTGACTGGAAAGTACTTCGCGTTGATGTCTATCTTCAGACTGGCTGTAACCTTCCTTACCTCAAGAGCTATCGTACATCCACATCAATTTCTTCAAATCTTTGATCTAATGTGGTCAATTCCTTTTCCGTGATGCGCCATGCTAATGCCTCTGATCTGCCAATCGTAAAACGCCGTTTGTCCTCGAAATCTTGGTCCGCCTAAATCGAAAGTGTCTCTGACCACGATTTTCATCACCGCCCAACAGGGATATCGGCATAATGCAGATTCTTCGCCCAGGGTGGTAGGCTTTTGTCTCGCTCGTATGCGAGGCCGCAATTGCTGCATAATGACTGTATTCATCTTAGCCATCTTCCCAGCCGTCCACACGAAGATTGACTTACTCTGGGTCCATTTGGTCCGTCTCTCACAGCCCAGACTGCAGATCCATGCACTAAACAGTGCGAACATCTCCACGTCGTTCTTTCCCTGCAAACACAGATGTTAGCGAAGATATACTCGACCCCGAAATTGAGAAACCGATACCATTCATTAAGACTCCCAGCTCCTCCGCCGCCATACCCAGCGTTGCCCACATCTGGAGTCGCCCTTCCTACTGGACTCAAGCTCCTAAATCGTCTCTTCTTCTTACTTCGCTCGCCTCTTCCCATTGCAGGCGTCTCGTCGCCATCCCCTTGATTACCATAACCATTTGGCTGCGCCGGCATTCCTCCTGCCATATTCGTGGTACTCGAGAATCGCGCCGTCTCTCTCCGCAATCTCCGAAGCTGTCTCTCTCGATCACCTTCTCGCTTTTCAATTTCTTCCTTCGACAGGCGTTCGAGCTTCGGCTCCCACTCATCTCCTAAGTGCTCGTTGTCGTATCGCCATCCTGCTTCTGCGGAACTGGCAGCCATGTTATCAATACCCCCACCATAGCCATTCATCGCGCCCACTAGGCCACCATTTTCGCAAGCCTCTTTCTTCAAGCGTAGTACGGCCTCGTAGATTGCGTGAGCCATTGCAGGTACCCATTCGCCAGAAAGACCAATATCGGCGCATGTCTGTTTTGCGAATCGCTCAGCGACGCCCACTGGGTGAAGCAAGGACCATTCAAATTTGTCGGTGTAGAGCTTGTTCTGTAGATTGATATTGAGTGTTACAATGCAGCGGTATGTATCATCAGGGTCATTTTCGTCGTTTGATGTAGAGGCGGGATGTGAGGAGGCGGTGGCTGTGATGTCTTTTGAAGATTGTTTGGTTGCAGGGGCATGTCCGTTGATGCCGTCGGCGCCGTTCGCTCTAGGTGTGCTTGGGCCTGTGGGAGCCGGTGTGGATGATTGGTCCCGAGACCTCGCAGCTTGTATTGCTTTGGGTCCGTTACCATTGCTGGCCCCAGTGTCTGTAGAGTGAAATAGAGGATGCAGTGCAACGCCTGCGTATTCTTCCAGCTGTTCCCGAATTTGCTTGCTGACTTGCAAAGCCAATCCGGCCCCATTCGGGAGGTCAAGGTCATGGATGAGGATGGTAGCGAACTGATCTGGTGTGATCAACGTTTCATGAAGGTTCCATAGGAAGATGTCTTTCAGTCGATATGCTGGTGTCGGCTCGGGCGTTCTGTAAGCGGGCAAGGCTGGATTGATGTTGAGAGTGTGATATTCTGGTGGAAGCGGAAGGGCAGGATGAGGTGTATATGGAGGTATGTCGAGGTCAATTCGGATAGGTATGAGGGTCAGTGGTAGTGCTGTCGGCGCATGGAGCTGTTTATCTGTCCTGCAGGAACCGTAAGCTTATCTGTACCAAAACATTTCAGATTTTATTTGTGCTCACTTCACAGATCTCAGCTTTCCCATCCAATCTCTCCAAATTCCCTGGACCTCGACTGGCGCGTGTATTTCTCTCCCTAGCTTCTCTGCGAATCCCTCCTTGTTCGCCTGATTAGGGTCTTCTCTCCTGCTTCGCAAACCAGTATGCCGTCTCGGACCTTCGCTATCCTCAAAGATGTCATCATCATCATATTCGTTCTCAGCGTAGTTGATGGCTATGGTGCCACGCTTCGTAGTTCGGGACAAGGGAGCATTTTGGGCGGTGGTTGGGGGAAGGACGGGGGTGAGTAAGGAATTTCCATAAGTTCGAAGACGGGGAGCATAGCTTGAAATAAAGGCTTGCGGAGTCATGGCTGTCGAAGTTCCCCGGCCTAGCTCATTGCCCGTAGATCACAGTCGAGGTGGATCACAGGAGTCCCGGAAATACTGTCGAATATCTGGATAGCTCACAGCACCGTGTGATGAATTCTGTTGAGGGGAGCATGTAGCTACCGGTATAACACAGCCCTTGCAAGATCAAGGAGCGAATTCAATGAGTGCTGCGTGCTCAGAGAGCTTTGGCGCAAAGTGAGCATCTGATCGCGTCCTAACCCCCAAAGTTCTCACGGGAAATGTCCAACAAAACCCGCTAGTCCGAATCCAGACACAACGTTAATGGACGTGTTTGCATCTATCAAATTACCATTCATTGATGCAATTGGATTATATTGGTCCAAGGGAATCGTGTTCGCTCAGTACCAGATCGAATCCTCGCTATGCTTGCTAATGCTCAGATCTGTACAGTGCAATATTCGATACTCATGAAACCATTCAATCAGTATCCATCCTTTCCTCCTCTGCGTCGTCCCTTTTCTCTACAGACGCTTTGACCCCTTTCAGAAAAGCTTCCACGGCTTCTCCACCTCCCAAAGGTACACCACCCCGCCTAATAAAACCGCCATTGTCAACAGGGATCTTCAAAGCCTCGCTGATACTAGGCACACCCCCATCTCGCAATGCCGCAGTCAGACTTCCTAAGCTCTGCGAGAACTGGGGTGACCGGAGGACCTTCCTCAATATTTCCTTCTTTTGGTCCAAACTCAACGCTTCTATTGCTGCTTTCGCAGTCTCTGAATTAGGGTCGACGGATGAAATGTCATCGGCTTCTTGGCTAAGGAGCAGCAGGACGGGCGGTATGTGGTTAAGAAGATTGCTGAGAAACGTCGAGTCCGCCGAATCGATGACGGGTATCGTCGTAGAGGATGGCAGTAAGTCGGGTAATGTGGTAAAATTCTTGCCTTGAGATTGCGATTGTTGATTACTTAGCGCTTGGTTCCCTTGCATGGACCGCAGAAAGTTCTGCACTGCAATCGCTGCGTCGTTCGAGGGCATGGCCGTGCTGACGACAACAAGTTAGCCATGCTCAACTATCTTAGTATTCTTTGGTGCGAGCGAAACTAAAAGGCGGTAGGCTTGATGAAGCTTCTGCTATGCATTCCTCTGGGTACATCGTTTGGCAAGTAACACCAGTATCGAGCTAATCATGCCTTCGTCCATCCGTGTAGTCGAAGAGAAGGTACAGATCATCTAGTTATGTCTCATGAACCTGTCGCGAGGTGATGAAAATTGGCGGTACCTACGCTCGTCCTCCGTCTGCACCCCCCTCTCTCGACTCTTCACCCTCATTCCCCGGATCGCCCATAAACGGATCCCCGCTCCCGATGTTGCCTTGTATGTCTCCGTGGCCCGCTGGACCTGCGTCTTCCATAGCCTCATCATCTCCATCTCCTCCATGATCATTTGAGGTATTTGCATATTCTTCCTGTACATTGACCTCGTCTCCTTGCAGGAGTCGGTCCACTATCTGCCCAATCTTTTCGTCACGCGGACTGAACCAAGCACGGTTTCCTTGTGGATGTTGGTCCTTCGACTGTAGCCAGAACAGGTGCCGGGTACTGCTTGATTGAAATTTGAGGACAAATACTCTGCCCGTGGTGGGAGACTTGGGATTTGAACTTGACCGAGTCTCTTTGTCATAATATGGAACAAAATTACCATCGTGAACCATGACAAGATCAAGTTCGGGTTGGCTCATCGGTGCGGAGCGAGGCCGCCAGCAGAAGTGGATAAGCTCATCTTCTTCGTAGAGATAGAGGTAGCCTGGAATGGGTTTGGGAACGATTTTGGGAGCTGATGAGCTAGTCTATACTCATCATCAGAAAAACCTTGTAAAGCGTTTATAATTTTATTCGTGGGCAATGTTGTGCTCAACTCCAGGAGAGAGAAATGAAGGTCACGACTCACATCGAAGTCACAAATTCCAGCCTTGAATGTGATTAATGGCGATATAGACATTCTGTCTCTCTGATTCTGGAAGTACGATTTGAGAGCTGAGACTATGGAAGATGAGAGAGTCGTAAGAAGCGGTTTACTAAGATCGTGAACGACTTTGTTATGAAGCTCCAGAGCCTCAAGCGAGTAGTCGTGAGAACCTTGGCTAAAATTCGCGCCAAGCCCAAACCTAAGCTAAGTCCACTAAGCGAGCTTCCACAAAATCAACTTCGGGATAGGGACATAGAACACTCAACCTTCGACATTTCCACGCAGCACGTCATCTGCCAGCGCTCTCATCCCTTCTGCTACAGTCATCATGTCGGCCAAGCAAGAAGCCACCAAGGCCGAACACAAAACGAAGAAGTTCGGCAAGGGCGAGCGCTCAATACCACACCACACGCAGAAGGCCAAGAAGTTCTACCCTGCAGAGGACGAGGCTAAGCCGAAGAAGGTACGTGAAGCAATACAGACGGGCACCTATACAAAAGATTGTTCCCTGGTATATTGGTCGTCGGCACCCGCGGAACACCCATAACCCTATCTCAATGATTCTACAGCAACCCTCGAAATATTTAATATCAAGTCCCAGCTCTAGGGATCAGTTGCTAAAACCATGCCCATTAGGTCCGCAAATCCATTCACCCCGCCCGTCCCCGCTCTACTCTCCAACCTGGCAGCGTTCTTATCCTCCTTGCTGGTCGTTTCCGCGGCAAGCGCGTCATCCTCCTCAAGCACCTGCCCCAAGGTGTTCTCCTGATTACTGGTCCCTTTAAGGTCAATGGCGTCCCATTAAGAAGAGTCAATGCCAGATACGTCATCGCTACAAGTTCGAAGGTAGACCTGAAGGGGATTGACGAGAAGGTGGTGGAGAAAGTTGGAGAGGAGGGCTACTTCACTCGGGACAAGGCGGAGAACAAGAAAGGGGAGGATCAATTTTTCGCGCAAGGGGAGAAGCCTGAGGTAAGTGAGAGCTGTGTTGGACAACTTGGCGCTAGGGAGATTTGTCGGTGGCTGACTTGATGGCTGCTTCAGAAGAAGAAGGTGGCCTCCGCTCGCGCCAGCGACCAGAAGGCTGTCGACCACGCATTATTGACCAACATCAAGAAGGAGCCTCATTTGATAGAATACCTCGGAAGTTCGTTCAGCCTACGAAAGGGAGATAAGCCCCACGCGATGAGCTTCTAGACGTCTAAACGGATTGACAGGGGTTGAGGAAGGACTATGGCATTTCGTGGGTACGGACCACTGAACAGCCTTTTTTCATGTAGCAGATGGAGCCAGCATTGTGGCGCCTAATGGCTGCGAGCTCTCGTACTAAGCTAAACAAAAAAAACCAAATCGGTCAATGCGGTTGCTTTCCTTGAGCCCACAACCGGAAGGCCGAAAATCTGATCGAATGCAAGCTTGAAATTTAAAAATCAAAACCATCCATATGTGCTCTGATATCTAGTAAATATCGAAAAATGTGAAGGGTATCTCGAATACGAAAAGGCTAGCCGAAACACTACTATGGACCAGTACTCAACTTGTCCAATACTTGTCGAGGCACCATGACCACCCTAGTGCTATGATTCATCATCCTCTTCGTTGCGTCTTCTTGGTCGGCTCCCGGCGTTGCTCTTCTGGCTACTTTTCTTCATCACGCCTTTTGCCCTCGGCCTCGGCTTTTCCTGCTCAGCTTTGATTTCCTCGTCCTGCCCTCCCGCCTCAGCATCTTCCTCACCGTTCATTTTCTCACCCCTTCGTGTCCTGGACAGCCTCTTCGGGGGAGTTTCGTTCTTTCCCTCTGGGGATTGTCCGTTGGCATCATCCTCATGAGTCTCAGCTCTCCTCTTTCCGCTCTCATTCAGCCTGCTGCCCTTGCTCTTCGTATCTGGAGCTTCTTCTTCTTCATCTTCATCTTCATCTTCTTCTTCCCCCGCCGCTCCCCTTTCACCCTCTTCCTCTTCCTCTTCCTCATTATCACTCTTCTTCTTTGGCGCCTTCTTCAGGACCTTCTTTCCCGTCTTCTTTACTTTCCCCTTTGTTTTCTTAGCCACCTGTTTCTCCTCCGCTTCGTCGATAACATCATCCACCAAATCCTCGCCAATGCTAGTTCCCATGGCGAAATCCACAAGACCGAAACATCCATAGTTACCATTGCCACCGCCCATGAGGTGCTTTTCTTGCCTCCTCGCTATGCCACCGAGAACGAATGCGCTAGGAAGCATGTTGTATCCGCTGTAGGCGAGTGACTCCTCGAGCGAAACAATGGCAAGATAGAGAAGGTACGTAAGAAGGTGAAAGCGGAAAGTAACGGCAGGCAGATATGTAGGCAGAAAAACATGAATAAGGTAGGCAATGGGATGATCGTAGTGGGCAACCAGGGAGAATGGCGTAGGGACTGTATGTTGCCAACTGGTGTGCATTCCTGTAAGGGGCGATTGCTCAGAATGAAGTCCATAGCGATGGAAGACATAAGTCATCACCTATCACTTGTTAGCGCACTGGTCATAGCGGTTGTACACGAGCGAGGGAGCGTACTTCACGAAGGAGCAGGCCGAGGAATAAGTCTTTGGCAATGCCCCATGGCATCGGTAGCCCAGTGCTCAATTTCAGTACGCTCTGGAGATGCAATACTTGGGTGAAGAGAAGCTCAATTCCAGTCTGTATTGCAATACCGAGTAATACATTCCCAATGCTGATAAGCGCAACCTTCCACCAGCGGCCTCTCTTGCCCCCATTCTCCTCGCTCATTGGCAGCGCAATATCTCCATGCTCCTTGATCCCCACAGCAAGCGCTGGTGTAGCGCTATCGAGGAACAGGAAGCCCAGTGAGGGAAGGATGTAAAAGAGCAAGCGGATGCCAAAAGTTCCGAGGATCTCGACGTGAAGTGGATTATTAGTCTTGACCAAAATCGCCCAGGTCAACGTGAAGAAGAGAAGATTGAGGGTGGTGCCGTAGCTGGAGAAGGCCGGTATCACGAGGAAAGAGAGCGCGGGGATTGATAGCACAGCTTGCATGGGATTGCGAACCAGGTCCCACGGATATTGGATAGCCATCCATGCTTTGTCAAGCACGGATGGCTCGCGTGCGAGCGGAAGCCAGTCCATTACCGCGTAAGTATTTACATGTATGAATCGCTGAAGGAGAAGAACGAAGCTCAAGCACTTGGCAAGGCGATTGGGGCTAGCCTGGGTCTAGCACGGAAAACATGAGATTGACCAATCAGAGACGTACTGCGAGATGGCAGCGCAAAAGAGCCTTGATGGCCTCGATTCCTCCACTACTATAAGATCGCCTATAGAACAATAGCATTTAAGTCAACGGCGCTTTTGGAACCTCGGTTCATGCAGGCAGTCGGAGGTCCACCACGCGGAAGCGACAAGCCGTTTCTGTGGGGGTTTCAAGCGAACTATTACGCGCAGTGCAGGCATCGTAACTGAGGTTGTACAAATCATGTTGCCATGACCACAATCTGGTGGATATCATAATATCATTCGTATGCTTCGTATCTTGTCTGATCCTAAGAGATCGAATGTGAGTTCTATGAATTGCATGTTCTTGAAGCGATCCGCATAGCAGTTGGTCCCTATGAGATACCTACTTCGACATGCGAATCTAATCGGCGGCCCCCTCGCTACGACTTACACCATGCTGACCCGTCGCCATGCATCAAATTTCGATCAACCCCTTTGAGCTTGCATGACATGATAATGTAGGTGCTGGTGCGCAAGCTCCATTTTCAACTCAAAGACCGATCTAGGAAACTTCCAGCGATACATCTCTAGAAAATGCTTTGGTGGATCTACTCATACATCGACCCTAAATCAGACCACCAGCCGCCCTTGCATACAACCATGCGCTGATCCTGCCGTCGCTCTCTTCGCCATGTTTGACTCTTCTGTTGGACCCGCCATTCCGCAGAGAAGGTCAGCGAGGACCGTTTTGAGCCCTAAGTCCAGACAAGAACAACGAAGACGTTCTCTTCCTACTGCTTCTCACCGGGATGCTAAACGACGAACATCGAACCGCGTTGTTGTCAAGCCTGCATCAACAGAAGTGATATCGTCCTTAATAGAGACCCTGTCTGCGATCTCCTCGCCAGCGGAACACCACCTCGACTCCCTGCCCAGCATAGCTAGTTCCCACTCAACACCAGCCTCGCCACGTCCATGGCAAGCGGGATTTCCTCTATTCACCGGACCCAGCAGCGGTGCTCCTCAAGGCGACTCAATGCGACCATCTCTCTCTGGATCGGGAACAGACTTCGATGCACAAAAGAGACCTCACGGGGTGCACGATAATTACTTCCTACATCCCGACCGCTCGTCAATTAGAAGTTGGTCGCCTAGGCGCATCTCATCGGACAAATCCTTACGAGAGTATGCGAAGGAACCGACGGATCTCTTTGATTTGGGAGGAGCATATAGTATTGGGAATCTAAGCATCGAGCCAAAGCCTTCAACCACAACAATCGACTCCGACAGAAGTGAAGGCCGGAAGGGTCTTAATAGTTTTGCAAGTTTCAGGAACTTGGGCTTGAAGGCTTCCAGGGACTCGTTGCCTGGGTCCAACGGCCTCGTTGTCCTGAAGCCTAGGTCGGAAGCGAAGCGCACTCGCGAGAGACTTATAATAAGGGATACACCTCCAGGATCACCCGGACCAGATCAGCTGTTTGTGTCGAAACGAGGCACCGGCGATCGGGTGGCGGTAGAGCCTCCCAATATACCGACTCGAGCATCATCCGTGCAGTCTAACGGGTCTCCGGGAAGGTTGTACGGGAATCCGGAGGAAATGGATGGCGAGCCCAGCGGCAGCAAAAAAAGATACAGCATACCGAACGAAGACAGCATCCCTACCCGGAGTTCATCCATACGCCATAGCCTGCGATTGAGCCCATCACGTCATAGTAGGAGATCTCAGCTATCTGAGAGTAGCAGTGGTATGGAGCCCAGCAAGTCGGTATTAGAAAACCCGCCTAATATCCCAGAGCAGACGCTTCAGGAAGTGCCTGATGAGCTGGGAGAGGATTCAGTAAATCGCAGAATCAAAGAGCTCAAGGACCAGAAACTTGAAAGAGAGCGAAGCTCAATGGAGAGCCCAACGGAATTCTTCTCGGCCCCGCAGACACCAAATCGGAGTCTTGCGCCTTCTCCAGGTCCGGTCGCTCCCCAACCAACATCTATCAGTGCCCTGCTACTGGAACAAAAGACCGATGCAGTCGAGGTCCCAGAACCCAAGCTTATGGACGATACTGAGAGAAGCGCCCCTGCGCCGGCAATCGCGCAGAGGATCAGTAGACATAATGGAGTGCGAGCCAGCTCCGTGGAAGCCAAGCCAGCTACCGTAACAGATTCTTCAATCACTTCAAGAGATGGTGACAAAAGGCCATCATTTGCTTTGCCACAGAGGTCCAATTCTCGTCTATTGAAGCGCTTCTCTCGGCCCATGAGTCCCGCACCTGCGGAGAAACGGAGGACAGTTTCCAGTAACTTATTGGAGACCAAGCGCAATACGTCTTACCAGATTGATGAAGCTGATCTAGTAAGTGATGCCGTCAACGAGTATCTTCTGTCTTCCAGGTTGTCCCAAAAGATAAGCGATCCGCAGACAGGGCGGGTAATATCCTTTTCTGAAGTTGGGGATCCTGAAGGCTCAGTGATCTTCTGTTGCGTTGGAATGGGTCTGACTAGATTCGTCACGGTTTTCTACGATGAGTTGGCATCTACACTGAAGCTTCGACTTGTGACACCTGATCGTCCCGGCGTAGGAGGCAGCGATCCTCACACAGATGGGCTGGATACACCGTTGGGCTGGCCCGATGATGTGCGTGCCATTTGCCAGCATTTGAAAATTACGAAATTTTCAATCTTGGCCCATTCTGCGGGTGCAGTATATGCTCTAGCTACCGCACTGCGGATGCCTCAACATATCCGTTGCCGAGTACATCTACTCGCTCCGTGGATTCCGCCATCTCAAATGTATACCATCGGCGCTCAGCAGGAGCCTTCGCCAGCAAAGTCTCTTCCTTACTCGCAGCGTTTCCTGCGGTCTTTACCCACGACCTTTCTTAAAGCTGCAAACTTGAGTTTTCTCAACGCTACGAGCGCAAGTGTCACCACCACCCTCCCCAAATCACCTCGTCGCTCCAAGCGCAAGAGTTTCATTTGGGGTGGAGCAGCGGTGCCTGATATCCAGGAAGCTGCAAATGGTGGTGACCGGGATGCTTCTTTGTCTCCCACACTCTCCAACTGCGAAATGGCAGACTTCTCCAAAGAGAACCGTCCTTCTAGTCGTCGCGTCTCGAATTCAACGAATGGAAGATCTACCGCTCAAATTCAAAAAGAACGGCGGTCGATATTTGATGCTCGACTGACAGAAGCTACCTGGGATGCCGCAACGACTGGGGCCAACCCAGCGGTCGATTTGCTAGTCTGCCTTGAGCGGCGCCAGTCGATTGGCTTCAGATACGTTGATATCACGAGGTCTGTGGTCATTCACCATGGCAGCAGGGACAGTAGAGTCCCTGTGGACAATGTCAAGTGGTTGGGCAAAACAATGAGGAGGTGTGAGGTTCGGGTGTTGGAAGGCGAAGGACATGGATTGATGGCTTCAGCTGGTGTAATGGGTAGTGTTCTGATGGAGATGGCACAAGAATGGTCTGATTGGAATCGAGTTGTCAAAGGAAAGGGAGGTATGGCGGTATGACCGCTCTCACGGATGCAACCAGGCCTGTTTGAACTTGCCTTGGTGAGAGCAGTGGCATTCCCTTGGATCGATCGAGAGTTTCATGCATGATACCCCGGTCTACTGGCCAATGCGCTTTGATGCTTGGATATCGCGAGTGTATAAAGGCCTCACATATGACTGGCTATGTCCAAACCTGTCTAGATAATAAGTGTAATAGATATATGAGAGATACTGTTCTTACTACATCCAAATACGTATCTTTGTGTTTGGTGTGACTCCCACGACACCGTTGCTTGTGGTTCGCCTGGAGGCCAAAAGTTGAAAACCTCGGCACCGAGTCGTCCGTCAGCCCGCAAGCTCTCCTCCCCACCTCTGCTTCAGGCGCCCCTCTCAAGACGTCCGAATGGTACAGTCCTGCCCTGAGGCTATAACGCTCTCGGAAAAATCATCTGGTGGCTACAAAATTATAAGTATCGCCAGGACTTTGAAGAACGGGTCGCCATGTCTCGCCCGATCCCCTTCTCCGAACCCCCGTACCTCTGTGGGTTACCCTCGCCCTACTATACGCCGTCCCACCTCCGTTGGCAGAAGGCGTGCCGAGCTTTTGTCACCGAAAACCTCCATCAATACGCCTTAGACTGGGAGCGTGAGGAGATCGTTCCTCCTCATGTCTTCCAGAAGTTTGCGGATGCAAATATGCTCCTCCCGAATTTAACAGCACCGTTGCCAGTCCAATGGCTGAAGAGATTGGGCATAAATGACATACTGGGCGTAGTGAAGGTCGAGGACTGGGACTACATCCATACAGCTATCTTCTGCGATGAGATGTCACGGAGTGGGTTGATGGGGCCTGGAGCGAGTCTAACAACAGGCATGGCGTTTGGCGTTCCTCCACTACTGAAGTTTGGTAGCCAGGATCTGCAAGAAAGGTTCATACCCGAGCTTCTACTGGGGAAGAAGAGGACGTGCATTGCTATTACGGAGCCTGGAGCGGGAAGTGATGTGGCTGGCATTGAGACTACAGCCGAGAAGACGAAGGATGGAAAACATTATGTGGTAAATGGGACGAAGAAGTGGATCACAAACGGGATATGGTCGCACTACTGCACTATGGCTGTTCGTACTTCTGGGCCTGGCCCTGCAGGTCTGTCTCTTATTGTGGTTCCTCTCCTTGATTACCCTGGCGTCAGCATGCGGCGCCTGAAAGTAAGCGGGCATTTGACTAGCGGGACCACCTTCATTGAGCTCTCTGATGTCAAAGTCCCCGTTTCCAATCTCATCGGTCAAGAAGGCCAAGGCATGAAATACATCATGACGAATTTCAACCACGAGCGCTTGACGATCGCTATTGGCGGTACGAGACAGGCAAGGGTGGCACTGAGTGCGGCTTTTGAGTATTGTCTACAGAGGGAAGCATTTGGGAAGGTCCTGATGGAGCAGGCTGTTGTAAGGCATAGACTTGCGAAAGCCGGGGCGCTATTGGAGAGTCAATGGGCCTGGGTGGAGCAATTCGTCTATCAGATGACGAAAATGAAAAAGGAGGAAGCGGACGTGGAATTAGGCGGGCTGACGGCCATGGCGAAAGCACAGGCTGGGATTGTGCTGGATGAATGTGCGAGATGTGCAGTCATACTATTTGGAGGCAATGGGTTTACCACGACAGGAAGGGGCGAGATTGCGGAGAGGATATACCGCGATGTGCCCGGTGCGCGTATCCCAGGTGGTTCAGAGGATGTGATGTTGGATCTGGCAGTACGACAGCTGGTTAAGAACTACACCAACCAGACCAAGCTCATGGAGCGACCGGGAGGATCATCGAAACTTTGAGCTGACGGCATGGAGCAAGTATTGGCGAGACTTCCATCCTCGGTGAAGGTTCGATGGCCAATGAGGACGGGGAAGCCTATCTATCGCAGATACTGCTCGAGGGTACAGAGGACGTGAGCCGCCATATCTGAACACAGTCATGTTTCGGCAGATATGATGAAAGTACTCATATGCAAAGTCTGACTTGGTGACTGGCTGGCCTCATTGCTGCAGCAGGTCTGCGGTAGCCCGTATGATATAACGACTCGTGGTCATACCTAAGACCGAGAAGCAAACCTGCTTCCCTGAAAGCTGAAATATGAAAGCTAAGCCTGTTGTTGGCTTCGACAGTGTCCTTCATAGCTGGTGGTACCAAGTTGAAGAGGGTCAGAATTAGAGCACACAGGGTAAGTAAAAGCCTAATGTGATTGGAATTTATAGATGCTTGCATGAACATGAGGCTGCTAACAGTGGCTGAAAGCTCCGGACTTTTGTGACCATCATAGGGAGCAAGAGTCAAAAGACGCCCGAAGAACTTTGCAGTTGGTGAGCTAATGTTGTTTTGTTTTGTTGGCAGAAATTCAGGGACGGGGTTTTAGGAACGACTTCTGGCTAAAGTCAATTGCTTCAATGTTTGGCAACAAGGCTGTTGTTGACGAAGTACAAAAAGCATCGCGAGGAGTATATCTGGTAAAACAGTAAGAGCCTGTCTGGCTACTCGATATTGATGGGCCAATTCAGATTGAAGTCTTTTGTTTCTTGCGTTCACTTACGATGTGACCATTACACATGTCTCGAGAGTTTGACTAGCGCTATAAACATTTTGCAGAGACCAGCAAAGCCGAGAGTAGTGCGCGGTGCCTCTTCTGCGTGGAGATACCGTACTGCCACTGGGGATGTGGGTTCCGAAGACATGGCGCGCTCTCCTCAGAATCTCTCACAAATATTCAGAAGTTGTTGTCTGTATCCAATCAGGTGGTGCATTTGACGGAACGAGCCAAGTCACATCGGTGGATTCTTGATGAATTTCCCTTCAAGTAGTGTTTCACGCTTTTTCCCACATGTCAATATCAAAGATTCTCAATCCCTAACATCGTCCCCAACTAACATTGCGCGAGTCCACTGACTGAAACTCCCACCACACTCTTCCAAATCCCTGCATTGCTTTGCGTGACGATTGTATTCAAAGACTTGATCATGAGCGGATGGGGTCACACGACAAGTTGGGTGCCTCCTGATATATTTTTTGGCCGGACCTTACTGTGCTCGATGACCATGCCTGGATGTAACCAAAGAGACGCGACAAATCTGATAACATAGCCCATCCACGGTGTCCGGTTTTCGAAGTGGTTGACTTAGGCAAAGAATCTCGTCCGCCTGACACCGCACATGGCGAGAAGTATCAATACACCTCTTTTCTGTCGTTTGCGGAAGTTGTTCGACAATGTCGACGGTGAGGCATACTATTCCATACCTTGGGAAGAAAGTCTGAACTGAACTGTCTCGTGGGTCAAGGACCTCTGGATATATGCACTTGCTTTACAGCCCCAGGATCTCGTTGAACAATGTAAGCTCCCCACATCTCTTCGTCGACGAGACGGTGGGACAGCTCCTGGTGTCAATCATAATATTGAACAATTACAAAGGCACTGAACAGAAGCAGCGAATGTCAGTCCCAAACAGTAGGCGTAAAGTCTCAATGTCTGTCGAGATGGGAAATTCTCTCGAGGCATACGTTGCCTGATCGATCAATACTTAGGAATGAACCTCGTTCACTCTTTATTTCCTTCAGACTCGACCAATTAGATGAGTGCCGCGGAAGTAAGATAGAGTATAACGCTAAAACTAGCTTCGATCTTTGACGGTCACCCGTACTCGTATGAAGTATGACATCAGTCAAATTCTTTAATTATTACAGTATCTGTGAAACCAATCGTTGAGCGATGTAATGAGATACATGTAAGTACAACGGAGGACTCGGAATCCGATTGCAAAGCTCGCGGATGAATGACGCCATGTTCAAGCGTTTTTCTTCTTGGCGCTGCATGTAAATAACATACCATTACTCCACATTCTCTCTGTTACACGCATCCTCTTATACACATACTGTCACCTCCTCATTCACCCATGTCTCTTTGTTTGCCTTCTCATCCTCTCTCTGTCCGTCTGCTGCCAATCCATCTTTCCTTTGCCTGATTATTGACGCACCGCCCACATCGCCTCAATGTCCGAATTAATTCGTGACACAGTCTTTGGACACGTAGTGCGTTTCATCACCAAGGGCAGAGTCTTGCAATACGCAGAAGAAAGAGATCCCTCACTATGGAAGCAATACCTTGACCGCGACCAAACCAAAAATATGGCCTTGTATGGCCACCCAGACGACAAAACACCGGAAGAGAAGCAAGAGCGTGAGAGTGCCCCGGTCAGCGAAACACAAAGCAATGCCAACGGCAACGTCAACGGAGCCAATTTGTCAGACGAGTCTTCCCAAACGCGCGCGGAGGATGGAGATCACCAACTGAGCAGTACAATCACGGGGCAGAAGATTGATCCAGAAAAAGGGCGAGATACTACAATGGTGACTTGGTTTGGCGACAATGACCCGGAGGTACGAACTCTCTAGTACTGGATCGAAGATGAGGCGGGTGCTAAGCAGGGGACAGATGCCACTGAATTGGTCGACTCTGAAGAAAGTCTTTGTAACCTTCGAAATCTGCCTCCTGACCTTTTCGGTCTACATTGGCTCGGCCATCTACAGTGCGGGAGAAGAAACCGTCGTTAAAGATTTTGGCGTTTCACAAACAAAGGCCACTCTTGGCCTGACCCTCTTCGTCGCTGGCTATGGCCTCGGACCTATGATCTGGGCCCCCATGAGCGAAATCCCCCAGATAGGAAGAAACCCTATATACATCGGCACCTTGGCAGTATTTGTCATTTTCCAAGTGCCAACGGCGTTGGCGGTGAACTTTGTAGGTGTACTTTTCGGAGCATTTTCTTCCTTAGTCAGACCGCAATTTGAGTCGCGAAACATGTCTTGCGCGCACAAAGCTCGGCTTTACTCTCAATAACCCTCTTCCCATATTTTCGACTCAAACAAGTCATGCTGACTCCGAATTGTGCAGGCCATGCTGTTGTGCTTTCGCTTCCTGACCGGCTTTATCGGCAGTCCGGTACTGGCCACTGGGGGAGCGAGTATAGGAGATATGTTTGCACCAAACAAGAGAGCGTATGGTATCGGCATTTGGGGCATTGCGGCCGTTTGTGGACCTGTGCTTGGACCATTAGTAGGGGGTTTTGCCGCTCAGGCTGAGGGCTGGGCATGGACAATATGGGAGCTCATGTGGCTCTGTGGGTTTTCATTGGTGCTATTTATCTTCTTTCTGCCCGAGACAAGCTCGTCCAACATCTTGTATCGGAGGACGAGGAGGTTGAGGAAATTGACGGGCATCGAAAGCCTTAGATGTCAGCCAGAGATTATGAGCGAGCAGATGACCGGGAAAGACGTGGGTTCTAGCAACACATGCAAACCATTCTTAACGGGTTGCCTACTGACTCGTAAGTCCAGATCGTCCTCATCGCTCTCGTCCGGCCAATCACCCTCAACTTTACAGAACCGATGGTGTTCCTCCTCAACTTGTATATCGCCCTTATATACGGCCTCCTATACATCTGGTTCGAATCATTCCCCATCGTCTTCGAAGGAATATACAAGTTCAACCTGGGCGAAGAAGGTCTGGCATTTGTGGGAATCCTAGTCGGCGCAATCATCGTTATCCCACCATTCTTCTACTACCTCCACAAGGTAGTCGAACCTCAATTCAATGAAAATGGCGAACTCACTCCCGAAAAGCGCCTCCCTCCAGCTTTCGTCGGCGCATTCTGCATCCCCATCTGCCTCTTCTGGTTCGGCTGGTCCGCACGCCCCAGCATCCACTGGATCATGCCAATCATCGGCTCCGGGTTCTTCTCCGTCGGCACCTTCCTCCTCTTCAACTCCGTCCTCAACTACCTACCGGATGCATACCCGGAGTATGCGGCCAGTGTGCTCGCAGGGAATGATTTCATGAGGAGCAGTTTTGGCGCGGGGTTCCCGCTGTTTGCAACGGCAATGTATAAGAATTTGGGGGTTGGGTGGGCGAGTTCGACGTTGGGGTTCTTGTCGATTGCGTTTATACCGATACCCTTTGTGCTGTATAGGGTGAGTTGCTCGTCTTTCTTACGGTCTCTGCTGCAAGTCCCGGGTATTTGGCTGACGCTGGATTATCAGTATGGTGAGACGATACGGAAACGTAGCAAGCTTGCCAGACAAGATTTCTAGATCCAGCGAAAAGCAATGACTCGGTTCGGGGGGGTAATCACAGACGATGGCATCTTGATAAGCATATAAGCGAAGACGCAGTCATGTGAATTCCGCATAGCCTGCAATAGGGGTCAGATAGCATGGATGCGAAGACATAGACTTGTGTGTCAGCAGCACACATTGAGACTTGTGGAATAACAACTAGACGGTTTTTGATTTATATTCGATCTTGACTTCCTCAACATCCAGGAACGTTTCGCATACAACAGGTGCAAATAGTGCAAGTTTTCGCCATCATCACTGGGTATCATCCGAGATCTCCAAGGGTTCCCATCCCCAACGCCTGGTATGAATAACCGGTATTACTGCCGGCTCGCCCCGTCATTACCCCATCAAATCAAGCTCTCGTACTTATCTAAACCGGACTTTTGCTGCACTGGCTGATGCGCAACGGGTACTTGCCCCTTGTTCCCGGCTTGCACAGCCGGGAAGTAGCCCATGCTTTGCGTTTGCGTTCCTGAACGCTGAGGCGACGTCGGGGCTGGTGGGAGTGAAAAGGCGGAAAACGGTGTGACAGGCTGTTGGGTTTGGGCCGGTGGAGGCATCATGTAACCTGGCTGCGATTGACGGGATGGTTGCTGGCCTGGGGTCGAAGACCACGACGCTGTAGCTGTTTGAGGCTGCATCGTCGTAGGTTGCATCGGTGTGAAAGAACTTA